TAAGAAAAGAAAAATAGACACTCTTCTTTTCTTGTGTATACTCAACTTGTTTTACGTGACGCGCTCGCATTTATTTAGGTTTTCTGGAACGCTGGCTGCCAGATGGTGGCTCTGAATTTTCAAACTCCCGATTTGCCGATGCAACTCAATCAGGGAAAGTTCGAGTACAACGGTACGACTGGCTATCTGCTGAAGCCCGACTTCATGCGAAGACCCGATCGTAGCTTCGATCCCTTCTCGGAGGACGTCGATGGCATTATCACCGCGCAGTGCGCGGTCCAGATCATAGCCGGGCAGTTTTTGTCCGATAAGAAGGTGGGCACGTACGTGGAGGTGGACATGTATGGTCTACCAGCAGACACGATCAAGAAGGAATTCAGGACTCGAATGGTACCGGCAAACGGTCTGAATCCGGTCTACAACGAGGAACCGTTCTTGTTTCGGAAAGTCGTACTTCCCGATTTGGCAGTGCTCAGATTTGGTACCTTTTCCTTTTGATAAGAATTTATTTTCATCTTTCTTCATTGTCGTAAATGTAAAATAAAAATAAATATTACCGTCTGCAAACCGAAGATTTTACAATCATGCTTCATCTGGCACAGGTGTGTATGAAGAGAACGGTAAATTGCTCGGGCAACGAATCTTACCTCTAGATGGTCTTCAAGCCGGTTATAGACACATCTCCTTGAAAACCGAAGCGAACTTTCCGATGGCATTGCCAATGCTCTTCTGCAACATAGAGTTGAAGATTTACGTCCCCGATGGCTTTGAAGGTGATATTCTAGTCGCAGTTCAAATATAATAGTATTCTTCGCGACTTTTGCTCACAAGTTTGCCTCCAATTTCAGATTTTATGGCCGCCTTGTCGGATCCGGGCGGTTTTAGCAAAGCTGCTGAGAAACAAAACGAGACGATGAAAGGCCTCGGAATAGAGCAAACGGATGCAAAGGCGGAAGCTAAGAAGAAAGAAGAAGAAGTGAAGAAAGGTAACAATGTTAAACAAGATATGATTTTTTTTCTTTATATTTTTCGTTTTATATTGAAAAGTTATATTGGATTAGTAAACAGTTTATTGTAATAGACTGAGAATAAAATAACTGATGTAAATAACCGACTAATGAGTAATCTCGGTTTTGATCCTTGAGATTGGATTCTCAGCGTTTAATAATTTATTTATTTTTTACATTTATACAAAATAGTTTATATATAAATATTTATATTATAAATGTTTATGTTGTCAATTATCTGCCATTATTTTTAAGAGACTTGCAATATAACAACTCAAAGTTAGAGCTAAATTTTTTCTCTTTAATATACTAGATTAGATAATAAAAAAAAATAGAAGATTGATATTATTTGTTATGTTATGCAAGTCCTTATTATTGCGTAATTCTAGTGGAAGCATTGAAATTGGAACCTATCACGTTAGAGTCTTTAAAGAAAGAGAAAGGTTTCAAATTGGGCAAAAAGCATCAGAAAGAATTGGATGCTATGAGGAAGAAACATACTAAAGAGAGACAAACTATGCAGAAGAATCATTGCAGTGTCATTGAAAAGCTTACCAAAGGAAAAGAGTAAGTTTTCTACCTTAATATAATTCCATCATATATAGCATAAAATTTAAGAAATTTAAAATATATTTAATATTAAAAATTTAATAACTAATAACAAATATATAACCAATACTCAATATTAAAAATTTAATAACTACATATATAAAACACTTTCAGCAAAAATGCTCTGGCGCAAGACGCGAATGTAAAGAAAGTTATAAGCGAGCAAACGGCTCAATGGTCCGCCATGATGGAGAAGCAGAGAAAAGAGGAATGGGAATTATTGAAGAATCAAACGCAAAGTTCTCGCGACGAATTAAAGAGACTGATTGAGATCGTGCAGGCCACACAAATTAAACAAATGCAGGCGAAGCATGACAAGTTAGTATACGTCAGTACGCTAAAATTTATATTATTTTTTTATTATACTTCTCCTTGATTCATCTTCGTAACGGCATACATGTCGATTTATTTCATCATTTAATTATTACACATTAATATTGTAGAGATATAAAGGATATGAACACCAATCAAGCGAAAATATCTGTAGAAACGGCAAAGGAAGTAATGAATGATAAAACTTTAAAGACAAAGGGTGATAAGGATAGACGGCTTCGCGAAAAGAAGCAGCAGAATACAAAAAATTCATAGAGGAAAGGAAGACTATAGAGATCAAGCAGGGCCGTGAGAGGGAAAAGGTGAAGGTTACACATGAAAAACAAGTGCAGAATTTAGATAAAGATATTGACATGGTAAATTTGACATAATTATACGTCATAAGTTTTTTTAAATATAAAAAAATACACAGGCTTTTGTAACATTAGCAATTTTGTGAAGATAAAGCATTCAATTTCTTTCTTTAGAATAGAACTTGCAAAGTTTTCACATTTCAAAAAACTTATTTTTACATTATATGAAGAAAACATTTATGATTGTCATAAAATGGATTGTTGTCTAACATCCACGAATAGAAATTAAAAAAATATATAAAAAACAAACACAATCGCGTAATTTTTTTATATATGAAATTAATACAATTTTGTGAAATAATACATTTGTTCGATTATGTTGCAGAGTATCGAAATGTACGAGAACGAAGTGATTGAATATGATTTATCATCCAAGGCGGAATTTTATATATAATTTTCTTTTCTTTATCATTTTACTTATTACTTATTCATGACCTTGTATTTTATGTTATATATATATTATTTATATTTCTTATAATTTTATATTATTTTTATTACCATACTGTTATAGCAAATTATGTTTAGCCGTAATTTAAATATAAATAAAAATATAAATCGTTTTTAGCTGTAATCATAAAATACAAATCTATCGTAATCTGTCGTAAAAGTTCTTCTATCTTTATTAATTATTAATAAATAAATATGTATTAATAAATATAATAAATATATATAGATAAATAAAAAAATATTAAAAAATATTTTGTTAGAATACTTTAACTTGGATGCTATAAATTCCATTTCTCAATCATCAGTTTTTCTTTAGAAGAGATCACAGAAGTAATATTAAATATTTCATATCATGATTAAATTATTATTTAATATTTTTTAAATGTTTATTAATAGCATTCAACAATTTTATAAGATTTTATCTCCAAAATTAAAATTGTGTATAGTTTTATAATTATTTACAATCGGAATGTATAAAACTATTATTTGGCACATAATTTTGTACGTTGTTAGACTTTGTACGTTATCAAGAAGTATTGAAATATACTGATAATTATAAATCATAAATATTTAAATTCCCTTGAAACTATTGAATTTTATCTAAGAATACACAACATCTGTATTTTCCTGCAGTTGAATGAAATTTTGTACAAACGGCATACGGTAGACGCGCAAGGAAGCGAGAGATCCAACACACGCACCAATCCAATAAACTATCACATGTTCCAGAGACGAGGTCCCCAGACAACCATATTTTAAAGAAGTCGCCAATGCAGGATTGAAATAACCGCCGGTATAACTGAAAGCTGAAACATACATTATATACATCGTATAATGATCAATGATATAGATATTTTATATCATGAAAAAGATTATCAAAATATTCGCCGACCTGCAACTACCAAAGATGTCCCTACAAAGGCGTCAATGATCGTACTAAACCTCGGATTCAGGTCACTCAACACGCGGGATACCACCCTGCACATGCATGTTGCAACGCATTCCACAAGCGCTCCAGTTAGCACGGAAACCTGAAAATTTGTCGCGTACGAGCTTTTATCTTACTCAATAATAAAATCATGTCACACGTGTAACAGGAGCACGCGATAAAAATTCACAATATTTAAAAATTAAAATTAATAATAATTAATAACAATTAATAAATAATTAATAAAAATTAATATTAATAATCCATTTTGTACGAAGTAAATTTTACTCGTAGAATCAAAAATGATATTTTGATCTTGCCTGTAAATCTGTAGTGCAATCGTCATAGGCTCTGTTCTTGTGCGTAGAAACGAGTTGGAACGCCCACAATATTTGGATGTACTTAAATATAATAAGACCGCCGGCCAACTCGGCGCATATCGACAGAAACGCGACGGTCAGGGGTTTTTTACTTATTATTACATCCTCCATGTGTGTGTAGGGACATGCCGAAGCTTCATCCCAGTTTTTCGACCACCAAATCGTTAGCAAAAACAAATAAAGTGCATACATCCATACTCCCCAGTTGTCCGCAACTGAAGAAAAAAGTATTTTGAGGAAAAACGTGGTACAATTACAACAAATCGCTATTATAACATGTATAATAATAATAATAATAACATAGAAAATAATACAAAAAAATTTTAATTAATCAATAAAAGGTACAGGCAATGAATATTACAATTACAAAAATAATAATAATACGCAACACATAAATATAAATTGCAATATAAATAACGGATATACAAATTCATAAGTTTACGTTTATCAGAAATTAATCGCATAATCGATGTAGCATATAAATTCATCATAAACGGAAAGATTTCAAATATCTAATGATAAAGTTAACTTACTTATAATTAGCTCGAAACATGCCCCGCAAAGTTCAGCCGTAGCTATGAATTCTAGGACCAAAGTCCTCGTAAGGGGATAGGAATCAAGATAAAATAGCGCATACAGCCTTAGCCAATACGCTATCCAAGTCGTGACTCCAATGTACGCTGTAGACACTATCAAGTCTATTGATCCAGGCATTATCCTATTAAGATACGTGCCATTTAAACAAGTGCAGCATCAGCATAATGAAAACATATGAGCGTAATAAAGCACATCCGACATAACATCACTACATGCTGAAAAGAAGTCTACACAGTGTCTGACACGTGGTTATATAATTAAATCATGAAACGGTAGAGTTCTTTCCCATTCCATATCACAGTCATCAATTAATGAATACTCTGTCTTTATTATCAAATACTTTTGTGTGATGCATTCAATGATAAAGCGCAAAAGGTATTATATAATAAATTTATTAATTGTATTGATTATGATCGCACGCGCTTAGCTCAATTGAGACACGCAGCAAAAACTTACGGAGCAATCACCAAATCACACTGGCTACTATTTCAATTTCTATTGTCTGATTTTCATAAATACCTCGCGCAGGAAACATTCACATTGAGTAGGGCTTCACGTAGCAGTTATTTAAAACTAGTAGTACCGAATATATCTACGCGGGTATGTCGCGAGGCTTTAAATAACTCTCGTCGAGATTGTTTCAAAGTCTGGTGAAGTATGAATCGCTATTGGTCCGATCTAAAGAATAATATATTCGAAATAATTAACTAAAAAATTACCTAGAAAAATAAAAATACATTTCAACAAAATATGATAAAAGTACATACAATTTCATATTTTTGCGAATACACAATCGATACATTCACGAAGATAACTGGATGGCGCAATGCACCAATGACGTAGATGCTGCAGAATGTATATCTAATGCCATCAAAATGTATATTTCATTTTAAATTATCCATACAAAAAATATTTCATACCTACGATAACATGATACTAAATAATTCCTAACGCAAAGCATTTATCAAGGTCAATCATAAAGGGACGCTACGCGTACAATCAGAAATCATATCTGCAGTTTTATTCATTTCAGAATTAACTACATGTTTTATATAGATTGAAATAAATGATTTCATGTATTTCGAAAATGTAGGTTAACATTAATCTTATCACTGTAAAAAAAGAAACATTTATTTACAAGAATTAAAGGACTCTCCTTTGTGCTTCTTTGCAGTGGTATGAGAGTCATCTTGATTCTGTGTTCTTGATACTAGCCTAGGAATTCGTTTAGCTTTTAAGTAGGACATTGTTTCGGTCGATGATCTAAAAATCGATAAAATAATTGTTGCATTAATTGATAAATATATTAATTTAGTTAAACAGTTAGTTAAGAAAATATTTAAAAAATTCTATGACTTATAGGGAACATATCACTTCTTTACATGTGCATTTTAAAAAAGTATTTTGAAGAATATAGAGAATTACATGAAAGGTCAAATTAAGAGCGATTTATATGATTAAATGATTATATTTAATTAATATAAAGAGTAATTACGAAAACGTAATTAAAAAATAAAATATATATATTATGTACATATTATTTATACCTCGTATTTTTCTGTTCCGTTAATATTTCTGTTGGATTACTCTCATTACTCGAATTCGAACTCAAAGAAAAAGGAATGATCTGATAAGTTCTACTAACAATTTCGTTAGTTGATTCAGTGTTTTCTGTTACAAATGATACAATTCGTGTCTCTGCATCACTCGACTTTCTTTTATTCTCAGATTCTGACTTCGTAGCCTTTGCGTCTGTCTGATTTTCGACTTTCGGTTTCAACTTGCCATCTTGCGTGGGAAAATTTACAGTAGGCAGATTAATAGTTCTATCCCCCTTAGTATCATTCATTAATTTAATTAGCAAGTTCGATAACTCCTCCCTTTTTCTCGTTACGATAATTTCTTCAAACCATGTTTTCAAAGTCTTAATTGGTAAAGTGTAGTCTTTGATTGGATCCTAAGAAAGAAAACAACTTTTGATTATATGGAAGATTTATATAATTAAATATATAAACAATACAACAATAAACAAATGTAAAAATATTTTAATGTTGTACTTACTTTGAAAAAGCTTTCTACATACTGCAATACATATAATCCACAATCAGTAAAATTAGATTGCTGGGGCACTTTCGGACACGCACCCTTAATTGTATCCTTCGAAAATGTCTTTTCTACACCAAGTTTGGCAACATGTTCGCAGCTTAAATAATCTCTTAACGTAGCAACTACTCGTGCTCTACTAGCGCCAGCAAGCGAATCGAATATTAATATGCAAGGACTATAAATCAAATATAATATATTAAAATCACATTAGATTGTATTGAGTATACGAAATAAGCATAAAACTTACAGTTTGACAGTTTCTTTCTGTTCTTCGATTTTATTTTCTTCTGGTCGAGAAGTTTCAGTCTCATCCTATAAAATACATTGCGTTATAAACAATCATTTTACAATAAAAATTATCAATAAAATTTATTCTATACCTCTTCATCGCTCTCAATTTCCATCTCATCGTCATCGCCTTCTGCCTCATCCCTTTCAGATCCATCATCTAACTGATCTAGCGTTATAGTCGTATGTACAGGGGTAATTGTTGTAGAGCCAATTGTGACAGCTTTCGCCTTCAACTCTTTTATTTTTTTGCTCTTTTTCCTCTGAACATCGTTTTCATTAGTTTTCGCAACACATGTGGAAACTTTCCCAACTAATCCGGGAAAACAGATAATAGCCAAGAACCAATGTGCGCTATATGAACAAAAATATCTTGTTTAAACGATAGAATTACTAAAGTCTTGCTTATGTTATTCAAAATCGATAGAATAACTTACTGTTCGTTTATAGGAATTATAACAAAATCTTTTTCAAATATATTAACGTTCTTCGTCCACTTCTGTACTCTTGCGTGCCGCTTGGCGGCGGCTGTCATTGGCACGGTACTTTCGGCAGCTTGGGCATGTGGGCTAGTTAAACGTTTGTAAAAATACGAGCTGAACACATGAGTTCTATGTTGATCAGATTCTGATAATACCTCTAAGGTCAAATATTTTAAATAAAAGTCTATAATCACATCGTTTAAAAATTGATCTTCTGCAAGACACAAGTAATCTTCGGTGTTGATAGCTATTCCTCCTTTTGCGGGAGGTGGTGGATATACAGTTATTCTATAAGAAAAAAAAACAATCTTTATAACAAAAAATACAATATTGATAAAAGTACCAAAATTACAACACAATACTAAATATATTAAACGAGATATTAAAAATAGGTCAAATTTTAAATATATTATATTATATTATATTATATTTAATACCACTCTATTTAATACCATTATTAAAAAATAAAAGTTGATTAAATAAAAGTCTTACGTTTGTATGTCATCGTTGCTACCAACATTAGTTGTTACATTTTGAGTCGATCTTCGTGTAATGAGCGATTGTAGACACTGTAATAATGTATATAAAGTAAATAAATAAATAAATATATACACATTATAAAAAATATTAGTAAATATTAGTAAAAATATTAGTAAATATAAAAAAAATTATAATTTGATTAAATACGTACATCCCTAGGTGATGCTCGTATAAGTATATCGTTAGCTTCTTTAGGATTTAATTCGCCTATTTTATCTCCACGTGAAAATAAACTTGTTAGTATCGCCTTTGAATCATCCGGTAACTTGTCTGGCAATAACGTGATACGTTTATGCGTATGATCTAAAAAATAAAATTAAAAATTATTAATCTGAGCTTAATATAAGATTTGTATCTTTATTACATACAGACTAATTCATAATTAGTAACGCACCTATTGTAAACAGGTAGAGTGGATTATAGAAAGATCCTGTACAATTTTTTGAGATTTTTGCCATAATTAAGAAGATATTAATTTATAAATATCCATGAATAAGAGTATTTGCGTGAAAGGAAAGCCTATTGTTATGTATGTTCACAATTGTCAGAAATATGGCAAGACGTTTGAAAGTATGATTTACAAATGATAGAAAGTATCCGTTTATAATGCACACCTTTATTGCGCTTCTAGCAGCCATAAACGCGAAACTCTACTGAACTGTCTGTGCACACTAAGTCTTCGTAAGGCTTTAAATTAATATCTCATTAATTATTGCAAAAATCACAAAATGGTAGAAGATTTCTCTAGTTATATAAGTTACTCAAAGAGATATCATTAATTATGAGACATCCTGTTTATATATTTGTATAAAAAATATATATAACATATAAATATATTTAAAAAATTATAGAATGTAAATAAACAATATCTTCGAAAATAATTATTAAATAGAAAATGTTTGTACATATTATGCAAATACCTTTTCCAGCAGGATCGTAATACGGGCCCTTTGGGTCTTGCATACCTAATAATTCACGTATCATGGCTCCGGTACTTGTAGATGTATAAAAGAATAATACCGGCATCGTTTTACCGAAATGAATTAAAAGCTTAATTATATCCCTATATTTCACATCTAAAGTAACAAAACTTGTATCTGTAAAATATTAGAACATTTCAAGAAGCATATATAGATATTATGTATAATTTCATATTATAGATAAAATTAACTTACTATCTTCTAATAGAGGTACACTAAATCTTACACCACTACGGGAAATCACTACGTTTTCCCGAGGAATATATTTGTAAGAACCTATTCTGACCGTCCGACACTCTATAGCAGTTTGTGGTAATTGTCCAATATCTAAAAAGCTCTTATTATTACATATTCCTATAGAATCCAATGTTATTTTCTTATTATATTATTGTATCAGTCAATACACATGTATCAGTCAATACACATGTATCAGTCAATACACACATATTAACTGATAACTATCTATGTTCTCATAAAACATTACCTTTACTATTTTCTTCATCCAAATCATCGTATAAACTAGGAACAGTAGCATTTGTGATTATTGGTTCTTTATCCAGAATGGTATCCATTTCTTCGTCAAAAGCATTACTTGTGTTGCCTAGTACAGTATTACTATTACTGCTTGCCATCTTTTTTCTACCCTCTTCTTCTTCATCAGACGATATTGTCAAACATTCTAAAAATAATTCTTAATGTGTTACGTGTACTAGGATAACAGATACTTTTGCTTGAATAGTTGTCTGTTAAATAATTCGTGAATTAACAATTCCGCATATATAACATTAAGAATTTTGAGTGTAAAATAACATATATCCTCATAAATATAAAATCTGTAAAATAAGAAAAATATTTCGTATACAAGATGTGCTATTATACCTGGCTCTTTATGAATAGGCTTTGGTTTTGAAGCTGCACCTTTACCCTTTCCTCTGGGTCGTTTAGCAGAACCATCCCGTTCTATTTTCTCCAATTTCGTAACGTTTCTTTCGTTATTCTTCTTATAGAACATCTGTAAAAATATACAATCGTAATACGTATCTATAAATTAATATGATAGAATATTGACAAATTGCTGATAGAAATATGATATATCAAGATGAGTAGTAAACAGCTTTCAATATGACCTGTAATGATATGGCAAGAGTATATCTTAATTTTAATATTAATTCTTGAATAAATTTTTTTTAAAGTATTTCTTAAAGATCATCTGCTGAAATATGTAAAAACAAACTTACTATATTATAAAATATTATGTTAATAATTACCTTAGGCTAGTGACACACAGAATAAACACAAACAGTAAAACTCAAGCAGTAAGCAAATTGTCCAATTATAGCTGAAAATTATCAATTATTATCATTTAAAAATTCTTGGCTATAATTGATAGATTTGTTTATTGCTACAGTTTACTTATATTTTTCTATGTACACAAGCTTTACTAAGCTAAATTCTTAATTTTAAATAAAGTAAACTTATTAGCTATTCATCAGTCAGACAATCATTATAACATGTGATCATCATAACATTGTAATAATAAATATGTCGGTCTTCTGGCACCGCAGTCATAATCCTTACATCAACAGACATTCCAGTCCCCTTCCTTTCTAGCACAGGTATGGATTTGACTTCTTCAGATTTTAATTTTGTATTACATCGTTCACATCGGTTGAAGTGTAGTGAACTGTAGCCGCAGTGTGGGCAGAGAGCAAGCATTCCTTTGACCAAAATAGGTTCCTAGTAATAACACGGTATACTTCGTACTTGTAGCACATTTATTCTGAATGATGAGCCTTAAGTATACTCCCTTATAATTTGTTACGGAATTCTTATCAATTATATCGATGTGACATATCACATTTGCATAGTGATTATCACATTAATTATGTTATCATACATTATCTACTTCACTTCATTCTTACATTTTATTTTTGATATATCTATTATATCATTCATACAAATATATATACCAGTATATAATCAGATACAATATAGTAATATCTATTGTCACTGACATTAAGCAAAGAAATTGGCATAGTAGAAAAGTAGCATTAGAAAATATTCAAAATAAAATATCACAGTATAACCAGTATGAGCACTCCATGTCAATACCTTTAATTTTTGTCGGACTATTCTGCCACATTAATATTTCAAGATACAGAAACAAATAAAAAATAAATGAATCATAAGCATAATCATACACTTTACTTACATTCATTTTCCATATATTTTCATACTAGGTATGTTCCTGTAGTTTAATTTCATTAAATCCAAATAAAAATTTACTTGCCTGCGCGAATAAATTTATGTAATCTATGGAACGCATTTTTCACAAAATGTCCAATACTAGTTATACTATAATATGTTGTACTATATGTTATACTATATGTTAATAATATTGATTTCAAATGTTAAACAAGATTCCGTTATTTTATATATTTGCAATAGTATCATTTTTATGCCAATATCCTTTTTTAATCTTTATAATAAAATAAATCTAACAAGCTTACCTCAGTATTTTTTGAAGAAGTATTACTATTTTCGTCCGATGCACTGAAAATATTATCATTTCAGTATTTTTTGACATAATTGAAAATAAATTTATCAAACATTTATTTATACAAATTTAGACAAATCGGAATATCTTACTTGGTATTTTGAGATAAATTTTCAGTGTTGGTAGTGGAGCTCACAATTTCCTGAGTAGAATTACTGTCACCATCATTACCCTCACAGGATGATGCAAGCATTCCGGAACCTGCATCCACTATGTAGTTTATACCCAATGCGGGATCATCTACCAAGGAGACTTGCGTTTCACCGGAGAATGCAATATTCACCTAAAAATATTTCAAATAACATGTAAACTGCAATTTTTTTTACAAAAAATCAACTATTATTACTTCATAATCATTGTGTGGTTGATAATTCTCTATAAATGCAATTATCCAGTGTAATAATGCAACTCAATGCATAAAAAACTTTCAATAAGCGTCGTTGTAGATATTAGATATTATTTAAATTTAAATAATATCTTATGAAATTCTCTGAAATTCTTGAATTCTTCCAACTACACAGCAATTTATCATTATTTGCAATCATTCTATACCAATGTTCTACAAATCATTGTAGAAACATACCTTGCCCAAGACTGCACGTACCTGATCCAATAGGTCGTGTACAGTGCAGTCCTCGTTCGGTATGTCGAACGTAATTAATCTTTGTTCTCCGGTAGCTAGCATCACTAACATTTTTGCTGTATTTCCTTGAATTTGATGTTGAACTATGGCATTTGCTGGATCACTAATAGTCTTTTGAAGATAAGCAATACTTTCGCTTGAACTGTTCTCAGGTTCTAACCGTGGCGAAGACTGTTGCGTTACATGTCCTTTCTCTCGAATACGTTCCGGAGGATCGACTTCCATATCGATACTAGTACGATGTGTATTATGTTCAACTGATGAAGGGAGTGATGGATTTGCCATAGATGGCTTCTGTGTTTGTTGTGAAGAAATTGAAATTTGTTGCGTTCTTTGCTGCACAGAATTTATGAAACGGGGTGTGGGTTTATTCAATGAAGATTGAACATGTTGCAAACTGTTTGGGAGTTGTCGTTGTGTATTATTTTGTTGAAACCTTTGTTTCTCGATATGTTGTTTTTGTAACTGTTTAAATTTCGCTTGCTTAATTTGTTCACTTAAGTGCTCCATATCAGGAGGTTGCACTCTTGTTGATGTTTTAGACATTTCAGGAGGAACTACTGCTATAGGTCGCACTTGCGACATATTAGGTGCACGAACAGGTCTTACTATTACATTCGGTCTTGGCGAATGGATAGTTTTATTGCAGACAGATAACATAGGTTTCGGACCTGTCACATTAGAATTTTGAATCCTGTTTTCTATCGTAGTTATTACGTTTCCATCTAGAACTTGAGGCACTACGCCCACTACGCTGTTCGTCAACTGTCGATTTTTATTTTGAAAAGATTTAGTTACTTTCTTTTCTATTTGACCTGAATTAAATGATCCGGAATTTACATAAACAGGTGCCTGAAAATAAAAATAATTGTTAAATCACAATTATTTTATAAGAGCAAATCTAATCTTTCTGATGATCTTAAATATTATTGTAATGTATATTAACTCACCGGTGATGTGATATTATTTTGTATATTATTTCTAGTTAAAACGGCAGTCTGATTTTTTTCTTGTAACGTATTCTGCTTTGTCGCTATAGTAGTATTAACGTTTTGTATTTTCATAAATTGTATTTGTTGCCCTTCAGTTTTACATTCTGTTTTAATACCTGAAAAGCGTGACTTCTTCGTAATATTATAAACAAGAAAACTATCAGATGTTATATATTCAATGCTGAAGTATGAAATAGCTTAACAGATAGTTTTTCACAAGCCATTAATGTAGCACAAACATTTATTGCTTACCTGTATTACTCCCAATGCTCACAATGCTATTTTCATTAATATGTGCATTCACAGTATTAGGTTTTAATATTTCCGGGGGAACAGCTAGATCATTCGTTTTGATTATAAAAACATTTTGCCTGAAAAGTAATAAACATTGTTATAAATACTGTCACAGAAATGTATCTTATTTTAACTAAGCATGCAAAATATTGATATGTTGGATATATATGTAAAAGAAACCAAATATATATATATAATATATATATATAATTCTTTCTTTTATTATATGTATATATATATATATATATATATATATACACTACTTACTACACACACACACACACACACACACACACACACACACACACACACACACACACACACACATATACATATATTATATATATGTTATTTATAAATGTAATACTTTAATTTATAAAACATCATTTTTTTTATGATGAACGATTAGATGAAGCTAATGTGAAAAATAAAATATTGGAACAAAAGTTTGTTATCTGGATGCGAGATACAACTTTATAATGGTGAATAATTATTCGATAGACGCTTCAAAAATAATAAAAGTACATTTACATTTATAAGACAAGATTAAATATATTTAATTATATTTTTTCATTTAAATTAAATTTTATCGAAACTAATATACACGTGCTTATATTAAATTTATAATTATTTTAATACTAATAACATAACTATAATTATTTCAATACTGCTATATTGTAATATAATTTTCTTTTAAATACATAAAAATTTTTAATAAAAAAGATATTGATGGATTAATATCCAAATTTGTTTATAATGTATTTAATAAATTATATTAATTAAAATAGAAATAGAATAAGCATTGATATAAAAAATCGCTTATAGGCCACACATATTAAGTATCATATATTATACAAAATATATTATTCCATTTATCATTTATAATTTCTAATTTCTAATCAATATTTTTAATTATTTTCGATTATTATTTAAAAAAATTTTATTTCAATATATTATATTAAATATCTACATTTTATTTTAAATACAAATTGTTTATACACACAAACATACATACATACATACATACATACATACATACATACATACATACATACATAACAACACCGAATCAATTAGTAGGCGAGATGAATGAACACAAAACTATACTATATTATATTTCTTTGAGGCACACGCATACAAAAGATTTTTAAAAATCTCTTACAATATAAAACACTCAATTTTTTTGAGGAAATAGAAAAATAGCTACTCGAGTCTTATGATAAAAGTCAGATAGACAGTTAACAAAAATAAACGTAAATGTAATATCATAAATTCCGCAGATAAAGCTAAATATAATTATAATCAAAAATGTAAAGAATTTCATACATTTAGAAATAGTTACATTTTTATATTTCTATGAAATAATTCAATTATGTTATATAATTGAATATTTATATAATTGAAAATAAGATTGATTGCAGTTAATTAATACACTGTTATACATTAAAACATAGATATTTTGTATTCCATTATTTCATATTTATATTCCATATTTTATTTACAAAACGTGCAAAATACACATATTCAGAAACATTATATTTTATTTACTATATATGTCACCAAGATCATATTTAAAATTTAATTACATATTATATTATTAATTTCATATGTACACATGTTCATTGCATGTATAATATATGCGACATACATAATACTATAATAGAAGACTACTTTAAGAAGCACCTGTTATAATAACGTCTCTTCCATGTTATACAATCTCGATATGTAAGAAGAATTACTTTAAAATTGGATACATGCAAAATATTAATCCAATTTTAAGTGCGTGTTTTCTTTAAATATTCATAAAGTTATTTTTGAAACCGAAACAATAATTTCATCTCAAAATGTATGGCCCATTATTCGGTATACAAATAATACATTCAATAAAAATTAAGATATTCATTATTTTTAAACCATTAAAGTTTATTTCTCACAACCAGTATCAATCATATATCAATGCCCTAATTATTTTTTTGAAAGATATTAAAATTTGAATCTGTATAAAATATCAAAAGTTTAGTTGTCTACTATCCCATGTTCGAGCAATTAAAAATGCATGCTGTATAAGTTACCCTTGTTCCAATCGCGCTGCTTGTATTTGATTCCCTAAATTAATAGTTTGCGGGGAGAATATTGCCTGTCTATTTTGTGGTGCAGCAGTATAAGTCACAAGCCGTTGTGAACCATTACTGCTATTATTAACGTCCCCAACAACTAACTGAATTCGTTGCCCGTCTGTCGTACAAATTCTTGGTACTTCCTCTAATGTGAAAGTACCACTGGCATTGGGCACAACATTAAAATATTGTGCCATATTATTTAAAACTTAGATGCTGGCAAATGTGATCTTTCCTCAATTAACAAAGATCAAAAATGAATTGCCGTTAGTGCAGTGAATTAGACCAATCCATCAATATCATCTCTGTAGGAGTATCTGCTAGTATTTGTGCGGTACAACCTATGGAAAACAACGAATCACGAATTATATCCGACTTTTCATATAATGCGTGTAAGTTCTAATGTCTCAAAAGGTAAACAAATGTATATATTTGCAAATTTATGATAAAAAATTATTAAAATAATATATAAATACTTGATAAACTCAACAGCATAAAAATTCGTTAATATATAAAAATAATACAGTATTGTTTAAATATCGCTATCTGCAAAATTAACACATATAGAAAATTGTATCTATAAAGTTAGTATCTGTTGTTGTTCAACTGATATCTGTGTTTAAATATTTGTATGATGATCTATTTCATAATACATGCATGTGAAATTATATCAAAATTGATAAAATACTGTTAAAAACTGGGTAAAATATTAAAATGTTCAATGCCTTAAAAGAGACTCTATTATAAAGCAGAGAATAAGCATGGAAAACCAAATTTTCCCATTGATCGAAACCGTTCAACTTTTAAAGTAGTCTCCTATAGAAATTAATCCCTCTCCCCTCTCCAAAATTCTAAATACAAATTCTGCTAATTAACTAATGATGGTTGTTGCAGAATTATATATATACCTGTCGCATTTTTTAAATTTAAGAAAATTATTATTAATTAACTTTTTGTACAATATATGTGCTTCAAAGATGTTCTTTAAAACTACATATTTTAATAAAAAAAAAATAAATGTAAAAATGTAAAAATGATTATGTATTTGTTAGTTATGTTATACATATTGATCTGTTTATCAAACAAAAATTATGCAAATTATAACAGAGCATGCAGTAAAATATATATTTAAAATAATGTGTGCACATATATGTGTATGTGTGTATGTGTGTATAACACAATAAAACATTATTGCAAGAATTTTTTATGAAAAAAGATATAAAAACAACCATAAAGAAAAATAAATGTATAGTATTATAACTTTTAAATTCCAAATTTTACATTGTTTCATCATTGATGCAATTATTTAATTAGACACACATTTCTCAAGACAAATTTAGGAACATCGCTTGCCCACTTTAAAAAAATAATTAGTATAGTAAGTAAATATTATTTACATATATGTAATGCAAGTTGTAGTATAAGTTATAACATGAAATCGTTCAAACAAATTTTGGAATATACGTATCTCATGATAAGCGAAACAAGAAGTTAATGATTGCAAAATTCTATACACTTTTTTTAAAATTTCTAATGGAACAAAATGATATCTGCATATACATTAATTAATTAAAGTCACATCCCTCACATAATTAATTAGAAGAAAGAAATATCTAACTTAATAAATTTAATCAGTTTATTTTAATACTCAATCTAGGAAATTAATATAATTTAATAATTGTAAAGAATGATATTAAATGACATGATATTAAATGAATCATAATATATGCATAATGAATCAGCAATTATTTATTGAATAAATATAATCTGGACTAAATAAAAAAAAGTTCTGATTAAAAATAGTTCTGAAAAATATGAATGATAAATTTACATTTAATATTTCTTTATGCAGAATGCAAGAACATGAGAAGTGGTGTCTTAGCACGTGAATATTATCATATTCAAAAGCGCATTAAAAATTCTCAGGAACGTCAGCTTCAATTAGGATGGAATAATCAGCTTCACAGACACTTATCAGAAAGAATTTTATAACGTTCTCACGACGTGAGGGCTATGACGAACACCGTCGAGGCTAACACTCCTTTTCGATTTTCAGAATGCATCTCAGTGAGAGAGAAATGACAGATATGATTCGAAAGCCGAAGGCAACAATCTCAAAGGTTCGCAACGATTATAACCTAAAAGTCACAGACAGGACAAAGGGAGCCGTACTTCCTCGGCTCGTCGACGCGATGATCGTCGTCGAGATCGATCGGAGACTCGACGAGGGGGGAGGAGGGAGAGCACAGGCCAAGCTAGCCGATTGTGAGAGACGCGAAGAGGTTAACGCTTTCTCTGTTACCCAAGCGACGAGAATTGACCGCGGGACCGTCTGTTAGACGAAGACTCTCATAACCTCATCGCGCGGATTAAGAGATTAATCGCGGGATCGGGGAGGGGCAGGAAGGCCGGTATCGACACGTTATCTCATGGCAAGGCATGGCGCGGCGTGGCGTGGCGCGATTGACAATTCGCTCGGCGAAAAACACGTGGCCTGCCCGATACGTACGAGGCGCACGACAGCGACGGCGACGATGGCACGATCTTTCTCTCGTTTTCATTTTCTCTCTCTCTCACTCACACACACACTCTCTCTCTCTCTCTCCCTTTTTCTTCGTGCACGCGTTGGAGAATAACTGATTCAATAACGAACGTATAACAGCGATACTCACGATCGTTCGTACGCGCCGTTTCACTGGCAAGTTATAGCGATTTCGCGTAAGTGACGCGTTGCTGAGCACCTCACTTTGCACCTCTCCGCTCTCTCACTTCGCAGAGTTCGGCGCGAGTAAATAACAACCGTGCTTCGCCATTTTACGTGTCCACTTGTATGGGCGAATCGCGCTGCGATCACTACGACCCGATGACGAACCGACGGACCGTACGTAGCACCTGGAGATCGCGCGTCCACTACGCAGCCGTTCACGCTGGTCTTCCGGGATATCGTTCAGGACCGCCAACTTCAAATTCGCGTCGTCGCGAAGACGCGAAGATCGAGAGTTATTTTAGTTTCATTTTCATTATTATGTTTATGTTTATTTTATGTTTTCAAGTATATATTTGAGTTTCATATGATTAGTAAAGTTTAATTGAATCTATGAATTTATTTTAGAGCATGTAACTTTAGTTTTGCTAATTAAGTTGTTTAGATTATTATATATTTAGTTTTAGTTTCGCATAAAAATAGATTTAATTATTTAATGTTTCATGTCTACTTGATTTTAAATGTTACACAAACAAAACAATGTAACAAATATTACAATACACATCAATATAGAATAGAAAACAAAACAATTAGAAGATAATTACAAATGTGAATGCAAATACAAATATAAATATAAACTGGAAGCTATTAAAAACTGCAAGACATAAATTATAGATAATAAATAAAATTAATATATCTTATTAAAGTTACTAAATATATGTAAATATATATTATTGCATAATTTCAATTTCAATTTTATCTTTTTATTTATGTCAAGTGTAAGATAATCATTATTTAAAAAATTTACTATATGGATTTTAAATTTATAACTATCATCTATTATGTCTTATTTTTTAGTGCATAATTTATTGTATAATAATTCATCAGAAATATCAATAAAAACACGATTTAACATCGTACAATATTAATTTATTCATATTAGATACGAAAGTTTTAAATGGAAGCGAGTTATTTCATTTCTTTTTATGTATATATTTACGCGTAATTCAAACAATCCTTGCCGTTGTTGCTTTTACTACGCCGAGGTCACATGACGTCACGCGCCGGCGCGGCGGCGTATCGCGCTATCCTTGATCTTCTTGCTGCGCCATATTTGTTCGCGCCGTGCGCCGGATCGGACGCTCCGTATTTCTCGCGTTTCCGAAATTCAAATTACACGCAAATAGGATGTCTAAAATATAGAACATAGAAATGGGTAATTATTTCATTACTTAAATGACTGTATAATATATAAATAGAATCATATTCATTCGTGAAATGCGACAATCGCATACTTGTATTGTAACAGAATAAAATCTCGCGCGCGTATTCGTTCGAATAGATTATATTACTCGCATAATACAATGACAATATCGAGACAAACGCGATTTAATGTCGCAAAATATTAATTTATTCATATTAGATATGAAATTTTCAAATAGAAGCGAATTATTTCATTTGATGTATATACGGTAATTCAAATTTTTCTATTTGATGTATTTACGTGTAATTCAAACAATTCTTGCCTGCTTTACTACGCCGAGGTCACATGACGTCACGCGCCGGCGCGGCGGCGTATCGCGCTATCCTTGGTCTTCTTGCTGCGCCATATTTGCTCGCACCGTGCGCCGGATCGGATGCTCCGTATTTCTCGCGTTTCCGAAATTCAAATTACACGCAAATAGGATGTCTAGAATATAGAACATAGAAATGGGTAATTATTTCATTATTTAAATGACTGTATAATATATAAATAGAATCATATTCATTCGTGAAATGCGACAATCGCATACTTGTATCGTAACAGGATAAAATCTCGCGCGCGTATTTGTTCGAACAAATTATATTACTCGCGTAATAATACAATGACAATATCGAGACAAACGCGATTTAATGTCGCAAAATATTAATTTATTACATTTATTAGATATGAAGTTTTCAAATGGAAGCGAATTATTTCATTTCTATTTGTTGTATATATTTACGCGTAATTCAAACAATTCTTGCCTGCTTTACTACGCCGAGGTCACATGACGTCACGCGCCGGCGCGGCGGCATATCGCGCTATATCTTTGGTCTTCTTGCTGCGCCAGATTTGTTCGCGCCGTGCACCGGATCGGACGCTCCGTATTTCTCGCATTTTCGAAATTCAAATTACATTCAAATAGGATGTCTAGAATATCGAACATGGAAATGAGTAATTATTTTATTACATAAATAATTGTGTAATATATAAATAGAATCCTATTCATTCATGAATGCGACAATCGCGTACTTGTATCGTAACAGGATAAAATCTCGCGCGCGTATTCGTTCGAACAGATTATATTACTCGCGTAATAATACAACGAAAATTAATACAATAAAATCGAGACAAACGCGACGTAGTTTCATATAATATTAATATGATCATATTAGGTATGAAATTTTCAAATCAAAATGAAATATTTCGTTTTAATTCAATATACATATTTACGCGTGTGGCCGCCGCCGTCAACATATTGCGCTACGCGCGGTTTTTTTGCTGCACCATATTTGTTTGCGCTATGTTCCGAATCAAATGTTCCATCGTTTCTTGCGTTTCTAAAATTCAAATTACACGCAGATACGGTATCTAAAATGCTGAATGTGGACAAATTGTTTTATTGCATAAGTAATAGTGCAGTGAATAAATATAATCGCATTCGTTTATAAATTGTTACACAATTTTCGTGTACTTTATACAATTTTCGTATCTGTCGCGTCGCGGCAAGTTAAATTCTCTCGCGTACGTGGCTCGCATAATGTCGGGAGTATTGAATAAAGTGCGATTGTTGTTAATGTGTATGTGGTTCGAGAAAATAAGCTGTCAATAAAATTTTATTGGGAGGCAAAACTTGGTGAGTGCATTAATTGCTAGCTACATATTTCTCCGATCTAAAATAAAATTACATTTTGTTAGATTTAATATTTAAAATAAATAAAAAGCATTATGTTATTTAAATAACACATTATAATGAGACTATATTATAATTGAACAAAATATTTATATTAAATATTTTACTTCTTAACTTAATTTTTTGATACATTTAAAATAAAAGATTAATTGAATGAAGTAGCATGTAATTTTAGCATAAAGATTTAAAAAATATAATAAATTATTTTTTATTAATACATATTTTAAAATCAAAAGTACTTGTTCAATAAATAATAATTGCATTTCCAAAAAAGAAAATGCCACAGCATAGGGTGAGTGAATTAATTGTGAGTGAATTAAATATTTAAGTTAATAATTATTATGTATTATTTGCATTAGCGTATTGCGCCATAGTTTTGTTTACATTAATAATCTGAGAAATATGTTGCTTAAAAAATCTTTAATAACATTTGAAATTTACTTCTTAAATGAGATATACAAATTTTTAAGAATATATTTCGATTTTCATTTGATGTGCAAATATGTAATATTTATATGGAAAATATAGTGAAAATTTATTGTATAAAGAATTTTTCTCATTAACGTTCTTATTTTTTCTTTAAAAATTAAAAATTCAAAGTAATAAATTTAACACAACTT